TTTTAATTTTCTGGTTTAACAACCTCACCAGTACTGCGTCGTAACAAACTAACAACATCACTAGTATTGCCTCGAAATGCAAATGTGAAATGTCGGCAGAAAAATACGGGCGCTTCCGATTGCTCCCGATACTTTACGAAAATCCGGACTGCATGGACACCATGATCATCATCGCTCATCGCGTTTGTGTAGTGTGTACTATGTGATAATGGCTAGCCCGCAAACGGGCTAGCCACAAAAATCGTATGTTCAAATGATGAAAGTTATTGTTGTTTTTTAAGCGTTTATTAGCGAGTGGGAAACTCCAACATGGCCGCCATCTATTCAAATGGGGGTAACCGCTGGAATATTCTTGGCTTCAATTTTACTGAAAGAGATGCGCTATCTAGTGTATATAAGATATCTATGGGTCACACACGTAAAGACGCACGACATATAACAAGCCTGAAGCATGCAGACATACCAATGGTTTTGACATCTTGTGTGAGTGACATCTTGTTCCAACTTGACAAACTAACAATATTGTTATAACTTATTTGGCAACTTTGTTACAAGTCTGTTCAGTGTTGACAAGATGTGAAGTTTTTGCGCATATACATGTAGCTAAATTTGGCAGCAAAGTTTGCATGATAAACTGAAAAGTTAACTCCAATGAATAAGTCCTATACTGCTTGGTGCAAACTGTTCGAAGCTAGAAAATTGCCACCATGGAAAATTGCACTTTCAAAAGGTCAAGTGAATGCTCTTGCGGTGTAGGCCAACAATTTAGTCCAACGTTTTTCTGGCTGTTACAGCAAATTACAAACGTGTGGACGTGCCGAAACTATGTATGGCTTGTATAACCCCGTAAAATGACTTTTACTAAAACCTTCGATAGATCTAAAAACTTGTTATGTACTAAAGTCTGGGTTTTGTTGTTTATCGTAAGCTTTAGTCCTTGTTTGAATTGCTCTTTTTTCTCTAAAGTGAATATTTTGATTTTTTCAGTCGTTTCACGGCTAGCTAACTGATAGCTGGACGTCACGAAAGCCCATTTAATAATTTTATTTACTTGTTCTAAAAACGTTATCCATTGCATATATAGGTCGACGAAAAGACTGTTTCCACTCTGCCATCAAACTTTTTCGTCAACAATCTCCTAGCAACCATGGCACTGACGAATGACCAGCCCTCTGCGAAGAAGATTCTTTGCGAAAACTGTGACAGTGAAGATGCTGCTCAAAATCGATGTAATGAATGTGGAATGTTTCTGTGTCACTTTTGTACCGAGTCGCATAAACGAACTCGGTCAACAAAACATCACGAGCTGGTGAGCGTGGAGGAATTGAAATCCAACCCAGACCCCCAGAACATTGCTGAGAAGATACGATGTCGCAAGCACAAGCAAAAAGTCATCAAGTTGTTTTGTAAAACATGTCAAACTACCATTTGTAGAGATTGCGCCATCGTTGATCATCGGCAGCATGAATATGGGTTTGTTGAAGAAGTCGCTGTCGAAGAAAAACGTCATTTGCAAAGCAATCTTAACGAAATAAAGCAAAGAAAAGGCAGAGTGGTAGAGGCAATCGTAAACCTGAAGAAATTTAATGTAAGTCTGGAGGCTAAGAAGACGTCGACAGTCTCCGAAATCAGTCGGCACTTTGATCAACTTGTGAAAGCCGTGGAATCTCGGAAAAGAGAAATGATCGAAAAAGCGACTTCAATCACGAATTCTAAACAAAAACAGATTCACGCGCAGTTAGAGGTCTTAGAAGTGGCTTTAGCAAGTTGTGAAAGCAGCATCAAGTTTACAGAGCAAGCGTTCAAGAATGGCAACGATGTTCAAATATTGAGCATGGAGAAGTACATTTTGCAGTCTTTGGAGCAGGTGAAAGCAGTTAAAGATCAAACGAAGCCTTGTGTCACTGAAGACATGGTATTCATCATTCCTTCTTCGGCGCAAGAAAAAAAGAAAGAGTTGTTGATTGACTATTACGTAGATGACGCTGTCGCAAACCCTGAAAGTTGCACGGCTTCCTTTAAAGAAACTGAAGCAACATTCAATGCTGGAAAACAGTACTCCATAACATTAATCTGTCACGACAAAAATAACCGAAGATTAAGATACGGAGGTCTGGACATCAAACCGTCGTTCACTGGAATGGAGGTCAGTGATGTTGCCTTTACTGATAATAAAGATGGCTCCTACACTATCAGTTTTTCTCTTCGTCAGGGGGGCATGTTGAAGTTCGAGGTATCCATCAATGGAACGCCTGCTCCAAATTGTTCTTTGACAAAACAAGTGAAGTGGGTTATAAGTGATGCTCATGGTAGAGGTGCTATCACCAATGGTGGACGTACAATGAATGGTGATGGTGGTGGTTACTGTTGCAGTGTCGGTGGATGTTACTTTGATTCTGGAGTTCACACGTGGGGAGTTCGATTGCGTCATAATGGAAACAGTTCCTATTCCTGCAGTGTTGAAGTTGGAATCATTGACTATGACGAAATTAATGCAGATATTGCTCAAAGCGAAAAGAAGTGTGTTCATAAGCATTCTGTCAAAACTGGCTTCGCTGATAATATTTCCTTAACTCTAGACATGGAAAAAAGAACATTGAACGTCAAGATTAGCTCGGATTGTTATGGATATAGTACTAAAAACTATCAGTTCACTGCACGTCGTGTTTCACCTTTCTTTGCGTGCTGCTCACCTTACCTGAGTATTAATTTAGTGAAATGAAAACATATAACTGTCGGTGAAATTCATTGCATTCAGTAGTGAACGGAAAAAGCTGCAGGAAAATTCCAACTAAAACTTAAGTTTCTTAAATTATCGTTTCAACTGTTGCTAAAATATGTGCATTTCAGCAATTGAAATTTTTGTAGAATTTTTCAGCATTTCAGATTTTGTAGAATTGGATATTGATATTATGTGTAGAATTCGAGTTATAATTAAATAGATATAATTTTGGAGACAATATTTTCTGGCACGCTGATTGCGTTGAAGGAATTGCTGCATAGAATTATAGAAAGATTGTTCGGTGGTGTTCTACCTTTATTTTGTACGCAAGTACATTGCACATTTCCCCGTTTCTGAACTTTCTTGCGTTTTAGATAAACTGTGATTGGCACTACAGAGGCATATCGTACTGTGTTTTGTAATAATGGTATCATATTTATCATATTATTTAACCAGGTTTCACAAATGCAGATAAGATCATAGTCCCCAGAATAAACCAGGTCATGAAGCAGAGAAATTTTGCACACTTTAGCGGATGGATCCTCATTCGAACGTACAAAATCTTTCAAGCTTCTCCAAGGCCGGCGAGAGGCAGCCCCGGGACAATTTGGTGAACACGCCCCC